AGCTTGCTCCCTGTGATGTGAGCTGCTTGCTGCAGACCCACCTCCCCACCCCAAGAACTGGCAGTCTGGGGGTGAAGACGGTGATGACTTTCTTTCCTCTCTTCCTCCATGCAGGCAGCCAGGGGCTGCAAGGAGCTGCTGCAGCCATTGCTGAGAAGCCCACGCACCAGCCCCCAGCCCCTCTTATACTTTCTGGATCCCTCCTGAGGTCAATACCCACACTTTTCTCCCTGTGTATGTACGATGTTCTCTACCTTTATTTGTTAACACGTCTCTATCTGGATCACCAGTCATTTAAACTACCCACATTTGCTTGTCTGCTAATAATGTAAACAACTTCTGGGAGATAGTCCAAGAATTCTCCCCTCCTAACCAAATAAGAAAAGCTGTGTACCCTTTATTTAGCATCATTTGGAAATGAGGTATAGAATCAAAATTTCTAGATGTGACAGTTTTCTCTTCAGGTTTTATTTTTAAACCATTTTGGGGATGAAGACTCCTTTGACATGGGTGATGTACATGCCCTTCTGCCTCAGGAGGGGGAACTGGACAAATGCCCAGCCTCTGTCTCATCATCTTCAGCCACTGTTAGGCATGTCAGAACTTTTACCATGAGCAGGAATTTGGTGAGCCCTGGGGCAAGGCACACGGGTCAGGCTGTGGGGGCTTCTACTTACTGCCCCTGGGCTGCAGTAGTTCTTCACTTTAGGACCTGCTTTTTATGTTTTCTTCTCTCCTCTCCACCACTACTTGTTCATACCTGTTGATGTTTTCTTTTTAAATCCCTCAGTTCATTAACTTTTATTCTATGGTACAATACGGAAGTGCCGGAAGTCTATTTTCTCTTCTCCAAGAGTACTCGTAAGACAGATCCTATGAGTATGGGTCTATCCAATCCAGAAAGTTCACAGATCTTAGTGTACATTCAGGGGACACTTAGGGACCTTCTTCTTTTGCTTCATCATCCATTCCCTTGTTTCAGTTGTGCTTCCAATACTCAGACTGTTGGACAAGTGCCCTCCATTTCTACAGTGCATCTTGCTATGACCAAATAGTGTGTCCCTGGCTTCAGGGCCTGTGTGTAGCTCACGATCTAAGATCTAAAAACGTAAAGTAAACCTTACCTTTTTGTAGAGACTCCTCAGATCTCGGTACTGCCACATGCTGTTGAGGACCTGAGATGCAGCCTTGACCACTTTTGGAGAGTGTCTGATAAAAGACAGAACATGCAAGACAGTGAGCAGGGGGAGGGGGCTGGGCTTCAGATAGACGCGCCTAGTCCGTCAGGCCATGGCAAGGACGAACAGCCTCATGCCTTTCTGGCTCTTCTCCTCTCAGCCTCAGGAGCACAAGGGATGGTTCTCTCAGTCTCCACCTCATTCTCATCAACACACCGTAAGCGCGAGGGGACAGGAACACATTACAACTTGGCAAAGAATTTTCAAAATGCAAGAGGGGTAGTGCATTGAGTCAGAAATTAGATTTTGCATTCGATGACAAAGTAGAACAGAAAGAAGAGAGTGGCGATTCGGAAGGGCCAGATTCAGGGGTTTTAATGGCAGGCTTGGCGATGTCTGTGCGGTAAGAAGAAGAAACATACTCATTTTCTCAGCGGAGTGTGAGAGCATATATACATGCTGGTCATACATGCCTGCATGGGTGCAGGGAGCCATTTGTTACTGATGCCAAGCACAGAAGGCTGGCGGTAAAGGCGACGTGTGCAGGCTGCCACACTCTCTTCCATTTATGCACAGGGACAGGTAAGCATCTATAAATAAAGCCCTTTGTGCAATTAAAGCCCCATCTCTGGGCCACAGTGAGAAATGAAGGTCACATAAATCTTGGGACAAGTGATTCTTGTGATTTTTTTTCTGAGCAATGACTTTGAAATCTCTAGGAAATGGTAGCTGGTTATTCACTTTTGAGTTCAGCGCCAATCGGCATCTCAAAACAGACACCAGATCAATAAATCCATGTTGATCTATTTCCATCAGATCCTTGGAAGTCACTCTGACTAGTGGTGAGGGAAATTATTAACTACCCACAGAGTCTCTGTTTGGCTGGGCTGCTCCCCCACCAGCTGCACAGTTCTCGTGGCTGCCATCAGCCCTGTGGCCTGTCTCAGGGGCCACCACGCTTTTCCTAGAAAGGGTCAGATAATAATTGTTTTCCACTTTGGGGGCCACATGGTCTCGGCTGCAGCTAATCAACTCTGCCATTGCGGCATGAGGGGAGTCACAAGTCAGACATAAAGCAGTGGATGTGACTGTGTTCCAATCAAGTGCTAATCACCAAAGCAGGCAGTGGGTGGGATTCAGCTTGTGGGCTGCAGTGTGCTGACCCCTGGTCGACGTGAATGGTAAGTCCCAGGACTGGGCAGGACGACCCATTCATGAAGACCCCTAGGTGAAATCCGCCCCTGAAACTGATCAGTGGTGTGTGGGCCTCTGGATCCCCCAAAGAGAATATCTGTATCGAGACCAAAAATGTCTGAAATAAAATGGCCTTTGCAACAGAAAGGGAGCAGATGGCTCAGTGGGATCAGGCTGAAGGTGCATCTGAGAGCCCGAGTGAATGGACGCTGCGAGGACGTGCATTTTGTAATGAAATACATGGTCAACTAACTGCCTGCTATTTCTCCTGGTCTTCACATTTGCAATTTAGGCCAATACGTTTAAGGTTTCCTCATCCATTTACTTACCAGTAACAGTAAGAGTCACTTATTTTTACTGAAATGAAATTCAACTTCAGCTATGTTAGAAAATCTTAGTAATATCACATATTTTTAAAAGAAAAAACAGAGTTTCATAAATTCCAAAACTCTTTCTCTATGAAAGTTGAACTCTATTTAAGAAACTTGCCTATTTTCTTTTGCTAAAATTGGATGGCTGCTGAATGATTTTGTAATTTGTTCTGGTATCACATTGCAAATGTATTGTTAAATTCCTTTGACTTATAAATAGAGAATTTGAATCTTTTCATGGATACAGACATAGGTACATTTTAATTCTATATAATCAATGTTGAACAAAGATTAAATGTTATGTTTTGCTGTATTTTATCACTGGCAGCTAGATATTGTCCATGACAATACTCAAGCAACTTTTGAAAAACATGTATTAGTATTTGGGTAGTGATAATGTGGTTGAAACATTTTTGGTATGCAAAAACTATTTTATTTTTTATAAACTAATTTTTTGTTTCTACTTCTTGCTTAATTATAAAATAGAAAGGACTGTGAATGTATAGTGGAGGTTTTAATCTCTCAATAAAATGTCAGTAAATTACAGTGTTACCCTAACATGTGAGGGTCAAAGAAATGCTGCTTTCTTTTTAGACTTTAATTTTGATCCATCCACTAGACTGATACCACAGCAACTTCTGTGTGAAAAACCATAACTATTGATTGAAGGACTTGAACAACTGAGTGTTTCTAATGTGACAAGTGATTATAACCTAGGCCACAATACACAGTTCCTCACTGACAAGTAACAGTTGAGACTGTTAATGGCTTTTCTGACTTATGACAAAACACAGTGACACATTCAATACTATTTCCTATATAATTGTTAAAATTAGAAAAAAACAAATATACTTTTGAAAGAGAAGGATGTGACAGAAGGTCCATAATAGGTGTTTAAAATGATGTGAAAAGAATAATGTAAGTTATCAAAACCTGAAAATGGTAAGTGTAAAACTCGTGTAAGAGTCATTAACGATAACCCAGTGTTTGATCTTCACCAGAGCTGTCAAATTAGGGGTGGCTGAGGATGCCAGTTGGTGCAGTTCCCTGTGGTTGTTCCACGCAGCCATTCCAGCTGGGGGACCCCAGAACACCAAGCCCAGTGGTTGTTTTGCAAGAAGATACAGTGACTTGCACTGTTCCAATAGCCTGTGATTGGCAACTCTAGTCTGACTCTTTAATCATGGGATATTTAAGCTTGTGTGTATTCAGAAATAAAATATATGAAGACATAAAGTGGAGAACCATAGCTAGGCATGTTTTTCCATCTGTGTTTTCTCATGCTATTTCAAATTGCAAAATCAGGTTTGATCTGAACTTATTTCTGTAAATAATTTTTCAAGGACAGATTTGCAAGCATTTTATAAACTAACTAGAGTAAATTGGCATTCCTCTCTCTCCAGTTATTATGTAATCCCCAATTCCAAAGACTCTATTTTCAATAAACAATTTCTGTTTTGTTAAACCATGTCTAGGAGGCCATGGGCTTCTCAGTGCCTACTATAATAACAGAATTAGTGATAAATGGTGAGATTATTTAGTGCTAAGATTCAGAGTAATTCTTCTGGATTCATTTTTAAGGTGAGAAACAGTGGCCACGTTGAAGTGTAGGTGGGAGCTGAGGATGTCTGCAGTCAAAAAAAACCTTATTTTGATCCTCAAATTAGTCATGATATAAAAAAGAGATAAACCACATGAAATAGGTAAGACTGACTAAGACAGAGAACAACTAGGAAAATGCCTGACTCAACCCAATCCAACACTTCTTATTAAACTCATAAATCCAGATACATGTTAAGGAACAATGAGATGAAACTAGTGACCGTGTCATAGCAAAATTTTCAGTCTTATTAAAGGACATGTATGAAGTCATCTGTAGTGAAAGAAACTTCCCATCAATAATAGTCAACAATAATAAACCAGACCTAACAGGACCATTTTCTGGATTGGCAGCATGGATATACACTATTTCATCAATGTTTCCTCAAATTATTTTTCAATTAGTTTGATCAAATCATCTTCTTTGGCCATTGGACTGACAAGAGCATCTTTTCTCTTTATTTAGTGGAGCTTAATGTAGGAGGGATGTTCTCAGGGTCAGAAGGAATTAACATATGCCAAACTGCTGCCCGAAGCTCTTTAGTCTTACCATCCAGAGAAAATACTTTAATCTTTGAATATCTCATGAATACAGACAAACATGTCTATGCTTTTGTGGGCTAAAGTTTTATCGTGTGTGTGTATTTGCTTAAACAAGCATTAATATATTAAGCTCCTAATGCTCAAAACAGGTAAGCATTTGAATGAGAGATTTCAAGGTTACCAAAGGTATATGAAGAAAAACAATCATGTGACTTCTGCCTATGTAGAATGGAATTTAATTTTAAGCATGATATAATAAGGTATAATTCAAGCCAACCATTTGCACTGAGTGCAGTGGGGGCTCCCTCTACTTGAAGTAGAAAACTATTCAAATCCTAATACTGAATTGTTGATTGGACCTACTTGGAGCTCTCGGGGTGCTTAAACAGAAAACCTGACACTCTTACAGTATAATGGTAATATCCTGAATTAAATGAAATAATAAGAGAATTCCCAGAAAGTGTCAAAGTACATCCATCACAGCCTTTAATAACAAAAGAAAAAATTATTTAGTATTTAGATGTAAAGGAATGGGCGTGGGGGCAAGGAAGGAAAAGTCAAGTAGATCCTTGATGACAAAAGGTTTAGTCTTTTGAGTTTGCTGATTGTACTGAGGGACTTCCAGAAGGTGAAATCTAATTAAGAATTGACAGCTCACTGATAAACTGACACTCTGGCCCGTGAAGTGAAGCTACGCCTCAGCTGCATACAGTAAAATTCCACTGATTCTGAATCAAACTGGGGATGGGGACAGTGCCATTTGTGGTGGCACAGAGGTTGTGACACAGAGCCCTACCTCTCCCTATTCCATTCACATAAAAGTCCTCCTTCCTCACCACAGTCCCCTCAGCCTCAGAAATTTCTTTTCGTCCTTTAACTCTTGATGATCACTTCTTCCAGGAAGTATATCATGACAGCCCCTCCCACAGCTTTAGGTTGGAAAGTATAGACATAATGACTTCTTAAATTAAAACATTTGCCCCAAATGCACAGCTAGAATGGCAGGGTATGGGACTAGTACTGAGTTCTATCTGTGCCAACCTCTCTGTGCTGTTTTTGCCCCTCTCCTTCCTGCATGCCCACATGCCATGCAGAGCTAAAGAGGCAAAGAGCACGAGGATGTGAATACATCACCACTTGGACCTGCAACCACAGAGGAGCAAGGCCACAAAGAACCATCAGTGTCCAGGTCGGGCTGGCATCTCCTCAGTGGGAGGAACACGCTAGTGTATGCATGCTGCATGGTCAGGTCCACCTTACCCATATCACAGTGGTCACCATCTCATGAGTTATTGATCAAATAGAAATTACCAGTAATATTAGCTTTCCTTGTGGCATGGGACAGCCTGAAAACCATTAGCTGTTTTCCTTCTCTTGATTATCAGAGACAAATGCTTCCCAGTGGCATCTGGTAGTGTTACCCATAACCAGGGGACCTGAGCACACTTAGAACCAGTTCGACCAACACCACTGCCAGAGTGATAGGAAGTCCCCATCTGACTTACTTATCTCCTTTGCTTTTGGAGATGCCGACCAACTTCTCGATGCCGCCGGCATCCCGCAAGGCCTTGGCGTTCTCCATGTTCTTGGTGATCACCTCGTGCAGGGTGCAGCAGACGGCTGTCACTGTGTCATCTGACATGGCCTTGCTCGCTGCGTTGTTGCTGTTCCCGCCTGGGAGCCTGTGGACGAGGTCTCGCATGGCGTATTTACCTTTGGAAGAGAAGAGGAAGGGAAAAGTGGAAATGAGGCCAAGAGGACAGAGGGAAAGGTGGGGACAGGGGAGAAGAGGAGAACACAGGGGCCACACTGATGCAGTACTGTTGTTCCCATCCCCCAACACCCTCAACTGGGTAACTGGACACAGAAACACAGAGTTTCCTCATAGTGAATGCATGGCTTGTGGTGCTGGGTGGCTGTGGGACTGAACCTCTGGGCAAGTGATTTCATGCCCCTAAGCCTCTGCTTTTTATATCTGTAAAGCAAGAACAATAATATCAGTAAAAGCAAGATAAGATCTGGAAAAACCAGAACCTATCTCACAAGATTGCTGCAAAGATTAAAGGAGAAAATGTATGGAAAGCATTTAATACGTAGGGATGACCAAGGATGCAGGACTCAAATAGATGTTAGCTATCACAAGATTCCTGCTGGGTACTTGCAGAAGTCAGGAGAACACATGGTAACTCTGACATAACCTCAAACATGCCTTGGTGGGAACTATGTTGGGACCTGTATTATTTAATAAGTAAAAGTCAAATCACAAATATGTGGACACCATGGTCATATGTATGGCTTCTACGTTCTGGCCTCTATGAAGCAAAGAGAAACATTTAAAGCAAGGGTAAGAGGCCTCACAAATAATATGTAAGTAGGTGTCCTTATAACTAGGATAACCAAATGATGTTCTTGTGTCTCTGATGGGATTTTATTGTATGGTTCTACAATATAACATTCACTAATTGGACATGTTTTTCTTCATGTGAAGAAAAAAGTAGAATCCAACTTTGCTGCCTTAATTGACTTTATCATTATTAATCTTGCTACTCCCTATGATAAAGGTACTTAAAATGACATCTTTATGAACAACTTTTAGTAGACAGAGTACTTTAGGCATTACCAATAACCCTGTAAGACAATTAATTCATCCCACCTGCAGCTTCCAATTCTGTTCCATTAATTTACTTCTGAAACTAAGCGAGTGCATGCCTTTAGTGAAGTTGACTGTTCTTAAATTTTTTGGATGGAATTGGCAAGTTCCAAAGTTAAATCCCTTTCTTGTCTCCCATTCCCCAACTAGACATAGTTAGCTAGCTCCTAAGAGCCATTTGAAATATTTCTCCTCCATACATGTCTCTAAAGGATGGCCTCTCTTGCTGTTTAATTTACTGGTGTGTGGTGCCTGGAGGTAGGAAAAGGAACCCTGCGGGAGGAGGCAAAGATATCTTAATTCCAGGCACTAATAAGTAAAACATAGGTCCTTGAAATTTTGCTGTCTGCTGTCATCCTATGTTTAGGTGGCTTATTTTAGCATGGAGAAAAAACCCCTGATGTCTAATTACTGAAACAGGAAAGTATCTCCATTCACTTGATGATAGCCAAGAGGTGTCTTACAAAATTGGTTAGCCTGCATAACTGCAAATGCAGCATACTTTTTCTAAGGACAGCATTTAAAATAGCTTGGAAAGATACTTTGTGCCTGTGCAGGTGTCTGAGCAGCTTGTTGGATCTATTTGTCATTATCTCATACTCAACTCTGGATAAGAGTTTCCTTTTGGGGAGCTCGGCCTGCTGAACCAGATCTGTTCTTTCACCCCACAGACCACTGTAAGACAAACCTGAGCTGCACAGAAGTGAGATGGATTGGGTTTTTTTTCTTTTTCTTCATAAGTGAAGTGATGGAGGAAGGGAACAGAGAACTATTTCAATCATTGTGCATACAGGGGCATTCACACACCTGGCTGGGTATGGAAGATTGGTTTCGTGACCTTGGGCATCATCAAGGTTGAAAACAAAAACGAGAAGAGGGAGAGGATTTGGCTGGAGCATTTCTAAAATTTTTGTTATGACTACAATTTTTAAATTACCTCAGAGACATCTGAAGATGTGGTTTCCCAATCTATGAGCCCTGAACGAGATATAATGTGTCCCCGTAATGTTTAGGTGGCAGGGAATGCTACCTTTCCCCAGAGCAGCCTCTCTGACCTGCCCCACAGTCCCATACTAATACCATCACTATCCATGTGCTCCATGGTGTGGGAAACAGCAGAGTCACTGCCATATACAACCTACCACAACCTGTCAAGGAAACACACTGGAATTGGAATAATATTTGCAGAACAGTTCTCTGACATTTTACTGGGCCACTAGAGTTTTCATTTATCTACTTATTAGTCTATTTAGAGGGATACATTTTAGTCTATATTTTTGACCATCCAAACAGAGAAACAAATCAAGTATAATTATTCCATACAGTCAAAAACCTCTGGGTGAAATCTGTTAATTCTCTTAAGGACATACAATAGTTTTAGCCTTTGATTATGCTGCTGAGAAAGCTGTCCTCTCACACTGGAACTTGAATCCTATCTTCATATGAAATTTGGGTAACAAGAATAGCTTTTTAGCTCCTTCTTGTGGTTAGAAACTTTGAGACAAATTAGGGGTAAAAAAGAGAAAATAAGGGACATAGGATAGTTACAGCCACATGTGACCTCGTGTGACATGCTCATCACAGGACAGGGAAGGGAGGAGGTTGACTGGACTAGGGCTGTCATGGAAGGCTTGAGAGGGGAAGTGAATGCTTAGGATTTGTTCTATAACTCAGGGAGCCACAAGACCAAACTGATATTTTACTAAGGGAATTCTGGTGCATCAAGAAGAAAGGTTTAGAACAGTAAGACTGAAGGGCTGGGGGATATGTAATCTTTTCTTGGCAATAAAGCTCTCTCTCTCTCTGAACTTCTACTGAGAATGTATATAACTTAGGGTAGCTTGTGCATATAAGTGTTCTTTGTCTCATATTTTCTTTGTTCACTATAAATTCTAAACAGTAGAAAGAGCAGAAAAGCTATTCTTGCTACCTAGTAAGAGGAATCTTGGCACCCTCCTCTTCCCACTCCTCAGGCATACTTCCGGATCCTTGAGGCCTGAGATTTCTTCCAGTGTGAAAGTCAACCGCCTTTTGGAGTTAATTCTCTTTCTGAACCACAAAGGCAATAAAGTGCCAAGGTGTGTGAGCCAAACTGATTTCACAGTCTGATAACATCAAGGTATCAAATTGCATTTTTGTTTTGGATTCAGAGGTAGAAGTGGATGGAGATAGATTCTTAGTGGATTAAGGAGGGGAGTGACTGGGTGGCCAGATGGGTGCTACCTCTTTAGAAACCTGGAGGAGGAACCAGTGGGAGCTTCTGCACAGACCCAGGGACATCAAGGGGCAGTGGCAGCAGTAGCCATTGCAGACTGAAGACCACACCCTGTTCCTCTGGATTCAGTTTGGCTTAAACAGGTAAATGGTACAAGACAGACTTAAAGTCATAGATTCACATAAATAATACCATTCACTAGGCAACTGTAATATTTAGGAACAAAACAACAAGGACTTGTGACCTCAAAGAGGTGGCCATGGATGGTGGTGTGGGGGAGGCGATGAGGGAAGGGGAGCAGCCCTGATGGACATTCCTAAGATGGAACTGATGAGGCTCAGTTCACATTTCACATTTCACATTTCAGTGGACTCTGAGCCTCAAAGAGGTGGACATGGATGGTGGTGTGGGGGAGGGGATGAGAGAAGGGATGTAGCCCTGATGAACATTCATAAGATGGAACTGACGAGGCTCAGAATCCACTGAAATGTGGAGAGTGATGGAGGGAAGGCAGAATCAGAAGCTCTGGTGAGGAGCAATATACCAAGTGAATTTTAAAGTTTAATAATAATTGAGAAGTTGGACTTCTATTGTATTTTTTCACACAAAGAAAAATATGCAAAATTAGTAAGTGTTATTTGGGAGAACAACATGGCAAAATACCACTGGAGAGACAAGTGGGTCATCAGGTTCAAAAGATGCTTGATTTTGTGAAAGCAAGTGCTTTCATTTGGAATAAATTTGGAAGAAATCAAGTGGAACCAGTGTCTGCCGGGAGGAAAGAGCTCCTTCCTGTATTTCCAGCTGTAGCACCCACCTCCACTGCCATGTCCAGTGGGCCAGGCAAGCAGGGAGGTGCCTCTGCACTACGCCCCTGTAGCTGCCATAGGTAGGGCTGCCCCTGGATGGCCTGGCATGATGGTGGGGGCAGCAGGTGTGTGGGACCAGTGCTTCCAGCTCTGCTTTCATTTGGAATAAATGTGCTTCCCACTATCCATGGTCATGGAATGAGTGTTAAAAAAGAAAAGCGTGGACTCAAGAAAAAGATGGTGGTGAGAGAAGTGAGCCAGAAACATCCTCCCAAAACCACATATAACAAGAAAATATAGCAAATACAACTAATCCTGAAAAAGCAACGTGAAGACTGCAGAACAGACTGCTACATCTGGGGAAAAGAGAAGACCTCACAGAAAAGGGCAAAGACATGATCTTGTGTGACCCAAGCCCTCCCCCAACCCCAGCCCACAGTTGGGAGAAAGAGAAATGGAGCAGGACGGAAGTAGAAGCCCAGGACTGCTAAACACCCAGCCCTGGAGATCTGCTCCAGAAGCAAAAACTCACATCACATGGTGCTCTGGAGATTAGTGGGAATGGAAAGCAAAGACAGGCAGAATACTTGGAGAGACTGAGATTTCAGCCACATGTGGAGCACAGGTACACATAACCAGTCCCCCTGGGACAAAAGAAAGGTGGGCATATTGAAAGGCTAAGGGGTGCTAAGATCAGAGGGTTGCTAAGGGGGCAAAGATTACACAGAGCTGGCTGCTCAGGAGAAAAGGCAGGTGGATAAAATCGTCCCAGTGCATTCAACCCCGCAGGTTGGGAACTCTCAGGAGCTTCAGATGCTCCATTCCTCCTGGCTGGCAATACAGCCTTAAGACCCCCAATGTGGTACATACTCTTCTGCTCCTCCCTCCTGGCAGGCACCAGTCCCACACACCTGCTGCCCCCACCATCATGCCAGGCCAGCCAGAGGGTGGCCCTGCCTATGGCAGCTACAGGGGCATAGCACAGAGGCTCTTCCCTGTGTTCCTGGCACACTGGATATGGCAGTGGAGGCAGGCGCTA